GAAAATGAAGTATAAAACAAGCTTTGCTTCAAATATATGAACTGAACTGCAGGTGGGCAGTAACGGATACCTGACAGAAGTGAAATAATGATCACTCATCATGATTCCTATTAGTTATATAATGACCTATGGACTGAACAAGCAATAGTCTATCTTTCCCAGTGATTCAATTGTCAGCCATTGGTACCAACTAAATGAAACACCTACAAAAAATGGTAAAGCACACCTCTGGGTGTGTCTGAAAGGATGTTGGCGGAAACGATCGTCATGTCACCAATGGAGAATACCTACCCTGAGTATGTATTGCCAGTAGTTGGGGATCAGGATGAACAAAAAGAAATGAAGGACATACCCACTTCTTGGAAATTCATGAGGATGTGGCCATTTTGCTGTTGGTATTGTTCATACATGTCTTAGTGTTTTCTAGAGAAACAGAACTGATAGAATGAACATATTAAAAATGGGTTACACTGGCTTACATGAGAAGGTCTGGGTACGCCAACAATGGCTGTCTCACATCATTGAGGCCAAGAATCAGGTGTTTAGTCATGGAGCTGGATGTCTCAGCAGTCCCAATCTGGCACTGGAGGTCTATATTCCTGGAGATCCTGGTCTTCGTTATACACTGAAGCTCAAAGAAGCTGTTTCTGTATCAGCAAAGGACTTCCAGCAGTGACAGCAGGGAGGCAAAAAGCAGTTTCTTTCTCCATGTCCTTTATCTGGGCTGCTACCAGAAGGTGCCACTCACATTTAAGGTAGGTCTTATAGAAGCCAGGTGGTGGTGGTACACCTCTTTAATCCCACCACTTGGGAGGCAGAGGTAGACAGATCTGTTAGTTCAAGTCCACATTGAGCTACACGAAATTGATCCAGTCTAAAAGAGAAAGAGTTACACAAAGATGATCTCAGCATGGGGACCACACACCTTTAATCTCAGCAGTAGGGAGGTATAAAAGGCAAAGCATCTCATGTGGAGATGCATTCTCTAACCATGCTTAGAGGTGGCAGTCTGAGGCTTGGAGACAGGATCAGCCCTTTCAGCTAGTGCTGGGCTGCTTTGCTTTTCTGATCTTCAGCTTGAAGCTTGAATCCCAGTATCAGTCTCTGGGTCTTTTATTATTTGTGTTACAAAGATTAGCCATCAAAACATCAGTCTCGAATTCCCTCAGTTGTGTGAATGTGTTTTCACACTAGCAACTTTCCAGGAGCTCCTAAACCTGTAGCCTCAGGCTGGGGATGCCATCATTGGTTTCTCTTTCTGAACTACTGGATCCTGGGGCAGAGACCTACTGGCTGTCCCATTAGATGGCCATCATGAAACTGTTCAGCCTGATCATAAAACCCAATCCTTTTTATAACTACATACATTGTATTGTTTTCTACAGAATCTTAACACTGCTGTTTGGTAACTGGTGACGCATATATTCGAGGAGTAAAAAATGAATACCTAGCCAACCTAGTTCTTGCACCAAGTATTTAAGTTTTACAATGATTTCTTTCAAATGTAGCAAACATGGATAGAACTCTCACAAAGTTTTTAGGAGTTTTTAGGAGACTTCCTTTTCAAGGTATAGAAAGGTCCCAGTTTTAAGCTGGGCAGTGGTGGTGCATGCCTTTAATCGCAGCACTTGGGAGGCAAAGGCAGGCAGATCTCTGAGTTTGAGGCCAGCTGGGTCTACAGAGCTAGTTCCAGGACAGGCTCCAAAGCTACAGAGAAACCCTGTCTTGAAAAACAATAAAAAGGCTCCAGTTTAAAATATTTGTGCATCTAAATAAGAGAACTTGATGTTTACTACCTGCATAGGGAGGGCTTTTAGAAGACTTTCAAGTAGGCTGTTGTGGTTTAAATGCAGACTGTCCCCTCTGGCTCATTAGTTTTCACAACAGTTCTGCTGACACTGTTAAGGGAAAGCAGACTTTTGCAGGAGGAAGTGGGTCACTAGGGATGGTCCTTGACCTTTTATAGGCTGGTCCCATTCCTATTCAGTCTTCATCTTGACTGTGGATAGTGTGACCAGCTGCCCACCTCTCCTGTTGAGTGAACTTTCCCTGCCATGATGGAGTGTAGCTCGTAGTAATGTAGGCCAAAACAAACCCTTCCTAAGTTGCAGGTCAGTTTTTGGTAACAAGAAGCAAAATAACTGAGAATACTGACATCAATAGTAGGGACACTGCTGTGATAAAGTGACTATGAACCGAATATTTGGGAAGATTTCAGAAGTTTGAATATCTGGACTAGAAATGTCCTAGCATACTGTAAACAGAACTCAATGGCCTACTTTGATGAGAGTTTAGAAGACGAAAATACTAAGAGAGACAGACAGTGGAGATACAGCTTATCAAGGATCAGCGATCAAGGACTCCATCTTTAATTGGGCTAAAGGCCATCTATCCTGGCCAAACAAACAAAAAAGCTGCATTCTGCCAAGGTCCCAAGGCTTTGAATGAAAATGAATATAGGAATACAGGAGTAATGAACTAATTATTTTGGTGGAAGAAATTTCAAGACAGGATAGTATTCAAATTGTGATGTGGCTACCTTCTTAATAAATTTTACTACAAACAAAACCTGACCAAAAAAACTCACATAAGCTGGCCTTGCCTTTGACTAGTTTTACTACATCTGTTCTTAAGAAAAAAAAAATAAATAAATAGATGATAGACAGACAGACAGGAATTCACTAGTTCAAAGTCACATTCGTACTTCATGGATGTAAAATTTTCATGTTGCTAACTTTTGATGACTGCAGTTTTTAACTCATGCCCTGTGTAGGTTGTTCAACAGGGTTGCAATACCTGAGAAGAAAAGCTGTTCACTCAGAAGTAAAAACCAATGACTAACAACTCCTCCGTATGCTTGTGCTCCATCACAAAAGCCTTACTTGTACAGTCAGATAGTCTCCCAACACAATTCCCTCATGTTTGCTCTTGTAAGATATACAATAGTGACCTCCTATTTTGGCATCGGGTTTCCAAGTTTAGGAAATTTTAATCACAACATTTGGTATTAAACTATTAACTTTCTGAGTTCAAGAAAGTCCAAACTATTTACTAGATTTCCCTCATATATAAAATAGGAATAGAACTGTTATATGATTGTATTGAGAAGAGTTAAACAGAGATCTTAAAGCTATTCTGGAAGTAAAACATTTAGCAACGTTAAATAAAGCTCACCAATTATGATTTATTTATTAGCCAAACGATTTAAAAAAGACAAAACCCTACAATCAAAACCTATATGTATTCATGTATGACATCTAAGAGAGGGCATTAGACATCTGGGGCTTTGGAAACCCACAAGTGCTTATTATCACACTGGCAAAAGCTGAAAATGGTAGGTAACTCTGGATAATTTAAATTCAGTTTAACACTTCAATCAATTAAGTGTTAAATAAAATTTAAACTTCCAAGACACATTTTCCAACTCTAAAGCTCAATGAATCAGTTACAAAGATTTAAGTGGAATAAGAAAAAATACACAAACAATCTGACTTCAAAATGATTCAAAATATAATTAGTAGCCATTACATATCAGTAGTAAGCAGACAGAGGCAGAGGAAGGTACTTGTTCTTTGTAACTTAAAAGGTATGTTAGTAAAAAAAAATGTGCTTCATAACTGCAGGTAACTATTTCTGCAATAACTAACCTAAGTGTTCTTGTAGTCAGCTGTCTGCACTCTTTCCAACAGGCTCTTCTCTTTAATAATGGTCTTGCTGAACTAAACTTTCTGTGAAGCAAAAACAGCAAAAGAGCTTGCAATAGAATACTGCTTCCAGGCCTACTAGTTGCCTCTTTGACTTTTGCAGACAAGGTCCCTTGACACTAGAAAAGTGCCAACCCATGAAAACTAGGCAGCCCTTCACATGCTAGTGCTTCCAACAGCATTTAAAGAATGAAAACAGCAGTGGTATGAAAGGCAGGGGTAGCCTACTAGATTAACATCCACCATCCAGAGGTGCTTTTACAAAGTTTCCATGAAAGATAAAGAGATCACTTAAAAGAAATCAATTTTGGTGAAGATGGTCAGGTATGAGTCCCAAAGCACTGGGCCAGTGAAAAAGGGATGGGCAGAATGACTTCAAATCACTCTACAGAAAAAAAGTGGCAGGAGAAATTAAGGAGGGAGAAGGGGAGGGTGAGAAGAGAATGAAAGACCACTAGAAAAGTAGTCTCCTCACATTTATTTAGGTCTGTATAATATACTCTTTGGTAAATAATACAGAACAACTAAAATGTACTTAATTTATATAAATAACATCTGAAAATTATACATACTTAATAATAACTAGCAGATTGTCACAGCTCAAAGACACCTGAACAGTAGTGAACACAAGATGGGTACTTCATAACTGTACTTTTCTGCATGTCTCCTAAAAGCCATTTAGAAAAATACAAGCATCCTTACTGCCATATACCCTCACCTCTAGTTAAGGCTTATATTACTGGCTCATTTTTTTACAAGAAAAAAATTGGACAGGGATGACAGAGGGGGAAAAAAACAGTGAAGTTAAATAATTAGAAGGAAATTGCAATAAGAAAACTAAGAATAGAAAGTCTAATTTTGAATCCTGAAAAGATTAATTCTTTAAAATAAAGAATGCACATACACACTGTTAATAAGCAATCCTTAATATGCTTTAGATTATATTTTAGTGTTAATGCTCCTTCAAATTATTTTAAGTACTAATAGATTGAAGCAAATTATGCAACTGTTTATAGATGTTCAGAAAAATCAACTCCACATGAGCACAGGTTTAATTTGTCTCTGACTTTGAAAGTAGTAGCATGAATTGGACAGGCTAGCAGATACCTGTACTTATAGCATTGGGGAGACTGAGGCAGGAGAATCACCGTCAGTTTGCAGCCACCTGGGTGAGTTCAAGGGCCAGCATGGGCCAAATGGCAAGACTCTAACTCAAACACTTATGCACACAAAGAAAAAGAACAACTTGAATTGTTCTATCTAACCTATACGACAAAGAAGCTGGATCAGATGATAGGCGTTTCTGCCGACTCTAATTGTCAATGATGCTTTATTACTTTTTTTTTTTTTCGTTAAACAAGACAATGCCAGTCTGTGTTTTTCTTAACAGTGAAATGTTTTCAAATTGAATCACATTTAGAAATACTAAAATTTAAACCTACTTCTGGCTAGCAACTGAAAACAGTAATTAAAAAAAATCCAATAAATAGAAGTTCTCTATATCTTAGCAAGGCCACTAAGAATATGGAATATTAATTAAAAATTGTCAATGTATAAAAAGCCTTAAGTAACTGAAAATGATACTACACAACTAAGTCACTGTTTAGTCATTTTAATCTGTTTGAAGATTTACAGCTATTTTTGATGCTCAGCTGCTACCACATGTAATAAAGACAAGCACTTCCCTCTGTATATACATTAACTGTTAACTTTTCTAAAACATATACATAATTCCATACATCTCCAAGAAAGTTTCATTTCCCATTATAAACACTGATTTATTAAATAACAAAGTAGAAGCCCGTGCTTTATAAGTCAGCATTAAATTTCTCACAGAGAAATCAAGAAAAAAAAGTTCTATCACGGATAGTTATTAACAGTTTGAAACCGTCTAACTCAAATTTCATCAAAGTGAAATGGGAGCTGGATGCACAGTGGGCAATGCCAGTGCTTTGGCCTTTCTTCGAACCAGTGCTTCCTGCCTTTTTCGTTGAATTTCCTCAGGAGAATACTTTCTATTCCTCTCTTCTTCATCTAAAAATTAAAAAAAAAAAAGCAAAGGGATTAATCTTATCAGTCATCTGAATATATAACTTTTGCCTTTTCATCGCACTGGTTTGACTATTAACACACAACCATAACATATACAATTGCATGTACACACAAAATGGAATGTTCTACATCAGGAGGATGCCAAGTCCCTGCCCATACCCACATTCAGGTATGATAAAACTTTGAGTTGATTAAAAGCTGGTTTTTGCAGACTCAGCAGATAATTCATGTGACCATCTAACCTATGACCATATAAATTTCTTTAAACACCAGATTTAAATGATATAAACATTGACAGATAGTAAAAATAATATGAATTAAGCTGTCTATCAATCCTTCAAATATAGCTGAGAGTGGTCGGTCACAGTTGCAACACCAATAGTCTGGAGATGGAGGGAGATCCAGTGAACACTGTCTGCAGCTATGGACTGAATTCAAGGCCATCTTGTGCTATACAAGACAGTCCTTAAAAAAGAAGGGGAAGGGAAAGCAAAGAAAAAGATACACCAAACAGCTATGAAAGAAAGCTGACTACTACTTTTCTCATTAAAACAGTCACAAAGTTTATATTTCAGTTGAGTAACCAAATGAAATCTCTCACATCAAATTGTGTGGGAGGCACAGAGGTCCATGTGCACACAGATAAGCACTGGAGGAACCAGGAATGTTAAATACACAGGGTTGTTCTTCAAAGGAAGGTACACACACTTGTTATCTGCCCAGAAGATGGAGCTGACATGATAACAGCCTGGAGACTTGTCTGCTACTGTTTGGCTCAAGACCACACCAAACCCTTCCCCAAACCCTTAGCATGAACTTGACAATCTATTTTTATGGATGCCACATGTACTTTACAAAGAGTTTCAATGTAGTGATACCTTAGACATTATTGTACACATGGGATTGAGTTAATAATTATTGCAGGAACTGGACATTTATAATTGTTCAAAATTTTATTTTTATTGAAGAATATATCAGAAAATTTGTGTGTGTGTGTGTGTGTGTGTGTGTGTGTGTATGTATGTGAAGTTGAAGCTTTAGACTGGAAACTACTCTCATTTAAATGACATGTACTATCTAAGATCATAACCCTAACATACATTTATGTAAATTTACTGATGAAACCTTATCTTTTAAGAGAAGAATCTGCATTATTATTAGAAGAAATATTTAGGCAGTGAAAACAGAATCTTTTTACACAAATTCCTCTTGCTGATGAAAGGAAACTCAAAATATATTATGTACCTACTTTCTTTCTTGGTATAATCAGAAATGGGAAAGGATAAAGGATTATTTCAAACCAACTTTGCAGATAACTCTGGTGTCTGTCATTTCCTAAGCCATACTTTAGCTATTTACCATCCCAGAGAAATACCAAAATATATTTTTTAAAAAACAGATTAATAATCCACAAAGGTAAAAATGTATGAAATAATACTATAAAACTCTGATTTAGGGACAGCCAAATGCCTCCCCATCAGCCCTTCCTCTAACTCATTTCCTATCGAATGTATGTGTGTATGAATGTATGTATACATTTACAAAGTCAAATTGTTGCACAGTACTAAGCAACCAAGTTTCTTAATATTTTTTATTTTTACTTTATGGCATAGGGGCCAGCAATTGTTACTCTTCATAGGACCAAAAATGGTTAACTTTTGATAGGAACATGTTCTTATTACAACTGCTCAACTCTATTCATTTTACAAAAAAGTCATATATAATATGTAAAAAAATCATCAGATGTCTGAATGAACTTTTTGCATTCCTTTGATTCACATTTTCAAATCGGTAACACTTAAAAATTTTAAAATGATTTTTAATGCACCAGTTGTATAAAAACAGGCTGCAAATTTACTAACTCTGGCCTTAAGCCACTAACAGGTAAGTGGGTTTTGTTTCAAGGATATTCCTTGGAGATTAGGTACTGACATATCAAAGGGAAAGTGAGTAAAAACAATACAAATACTGGAGAGGCCAATATTAGCCAGGAAGATGAAGCTGTATCAATAAGTCTAAAAGAAAAATTGCTAGGATACAAAGCAAATAATACCTTTATAAAAATGCAAATTAAAAGTATATGCAATAGGGCTGGAGAGATGGCTCAGAGGTTAAGAGCACTGACTGCTCTTCCAGAGGTCCTGAGTTCAATTCCCAGCAACCACATGGTGGCTCACAACCACCCCTAATGAGATCTGGTGCCCTCTTCTGGTGTGCAGATATACATGGAAGCAGAATGTTGTATACATAACAAATAAATAAAATTAAATTAAAAAGTATATGCAATAAATTTATTTTAGAAAACTTACCCAGATAGCTATAGTATATTTACTTTTAAAATAAACTTATAACATTTACAACTATAATAGATTGACAATAGTATTAACATTTCAAGACACAATGGGCTGTAACATGGAAAATTACTCGTTGTACCAAAATTTGTCTGGCATTTTGGAAGAAAATCTGGTGCTATCTGTCAAATTTCACAGCATTGTTTTACACCATACCGTCAGGAATTAACAAATACAATTACACAAGGTTCAGAAATTTGTATAATAGAATTCCTACTGTGCTGTTTGTAATTGCAAAAAACCAACCCAAGCTTTCATGAATACAAAAACAATTCTTAATCTCAACAACCATATAATTCAGCATAGACACTAAAGGGACTACAGATACTATAAGAAGTGTTATAATTTATTAAGGAAATGCAAAATCAAGCATTTATCATCCAATTCTATTTAAATAAATCAATAGATACAGAAACACACCTTTTTATATGCATAGAAAATCCTTAAGATAAAAAACACAAGGACTTGAAGATAAAGTTGAGGAACAATTTCTCAGAAAGTACATTCCAACAGCAAATAAATAACATTACTGTAACATGTAATACCTCAAAGAAATAACAAAGGAACTGTAGTTGAAGGGAGGGAACAGACTAAAAGCACTGAAAGCCCATTCAATAAAAGGAAGGCATAATGTCCCAAATTGAGGGAAAGAAATACTAAAAGCTGGCAGAAGTAGCAAGTTACATGCAAAGATAACCATACCAGAACAAAAGACCACTTTGCTATAACTCAGAAGATTACTCAGAAAAACACTGAAATCAAGACACAGCATGTCTGATATATTTCAACAACAACAAAAATTACTCATCAACCAAGATTATACATACATACATACATACATACCAAAGTTATCCTTTGATAACTTTATCTTCAATGATAAACTAAAGCAATTTATGACCAATACGTGATCACTGCAGATGATACTAAACCAGTGGTTCTCTTTTTTGTTGTTTTGTTTTTTTGTTTGTTTGTTTTGTTTTTTCAAGACAGGGTTTCTATGTGTAGCTTTGGAGCCTATCCTGGCACTTGCTCTGGAGACCAGGCTGGCCTTGAACTCACAGAGATCCACCTGCCTCTGCCTCCCAAGTGCTGGGATTAAAGGCATGGGCCACCAACGCCCGGCAACCAGTGGTTCTCAATCTTCCTAATGCTGTGACCATTTAATATAGCTCCCATGTTCTGGTGACCCCCCAACCACAACATTTTTTGTTGCTATTTCATAACTGCAATTTTGCTGCTGTTATGAATTGTAAATATTTGTGTTTTTCCAATGGTCTTAGGTGACCACTGTGAAAGTGTCTTTTGAACCTCAAAGGGGCTGTGACCCACAGGTTGAGAACAACTGTACCAAAGAAATACACTGCACAGATGAAGAAAGATGAACAAGTACAAGAGCTCTACAAATAATAGTTTTAGAAATAACAAATTGTAATAGAAGAGCTAATAAAGAAATGAGTTTTAGGAAGGATTCAAGCAGTTGTAAACAGAAAATCTTTACGATAAAGAAAGAAATTTCATTCCATGGAACACTAGTGTGACTATCCAATTAGAAGAAACAGACTTCAGAATGAGTACAGAAGAGGATCTAAATATTTGCTGGATCTCAGGAGCTGACACATACAGAATGAAATTGCAAAGACAAAATGAATCTGAAAGCCCAGACAACAAAGCCAAACTGAGAGGTATAAAGCAGCTTAATGTGTTTTAATACAGGAACAATACATCAGAAGACAATGGTGAAGGCTGGGTGTATAGTAACCCCAACACTCAAGGGAGACTTAAATCAAAGAACTGAAATTTTCAGGTCAGCCTGAGGCTGCACAGTGAGTTCCAGGACAGTCTAAACCACAGAAAATTCTATCTTAAAATTCAAATTAAAACAAAACAAACAAATAAAAACTTGGGGATCACAAAGATAGCTCAGCGGGTAAAAAGGTTACACTTCATGACCAGAGTTGAAAAACTGGACCTACATGGTAAATAGAGAACTGAGAAGGTGCTTGCCACCAAAGACTGATGGCCTGTGTTTGATCACTAAACATGACAGAAGAGTGAACTGACTCCCTGAAGTTGTCCTCTTACCTCCTGTGGCATATGTGCACCCCTCCACCTTTGTTAACAAGTCGTCTTAATTAATAGTAGGGCACAGAGATCTAGCCACAAAGGATAATTTTAGTACCATAATATTCCCCTTTGTCAATACATCATTCAAGCAGAGAACAAACAAAACTCTTTGAGCTAACTATTCCACAGATCAAATGGATTTAAAGGACAAATACAGAATATTCAATTCAACCACTACAGAATTGTTCTAACAACCCATCAATACTTTCTCCAAAATAGATGTTATATCATAAGTCTTAATAAACACATATACACACACAAGAAGGAGGAGGAAGGAGGGAATACTTTCTTCTCCTATCAGAAAAAGGGAGAACGATATCAGATTCATATGGGAAAAGTAGGTCACTCAAGAAATAAGGAACTTAGGAGCTGGGCGTTGGTGGCACACGCCTTTAATCCCAACACTAGGGAGGCAGAGGCAGACAGATCTCTGTGAGTTCCAGGCCAGCCTGGTCTCCAGAGCGAGTCCCAGGATAGGCTCCAAAGCTACAAAGAGAAACCCTGTCTTGAAAAACAAAACAAAACAAAACAAACAAAAGAACAAAAATAGAAATAAGGAACTTAGAAATTTCTAGAGTCAAGTAAAAATGAAAACACACTTATTAGAACATTTTGAATACAGCTAAGTCACTGCTACGAGAAGTTTATAGTTATGAGTTGCCTAAGTTTAAAATCAACAGAGATTTTAAGTAACTTAAGTTCATTCTACAAAGCCAGTATTAACCTTGGTATCAAAACTGGTAAGGATGTAACAATACATTTTCTAGAAGAACATAGCAAAACACACTTAATAAAATACTTGCAAATCTGGCACACAGGAGGCAGAGGCAGGCAGATCTCTGTGAGTTCCAGGCCAGCCTGGACTCCAGAACGAGTGCCAGGACAGGCTCCAAAGCTACACAGAAAAACCCTGTCTTGAAAAACCAAAAAAAAAAAAAAAAAAAAACCCCTGTTGAAAAAAACAAAAAAAAAAAAAAAAATATTTATAAAAAAAAAAAACAAAAAAAAAAAAAAAAAAAAACCCCCAACCCCCCCCCCCAAAAAAAAACCTTGCAAATCAAATTCAGTAATTTATTAACAAGATCATGATCAAGGTGATTCCATTCCAGGGATGCAGACATAACTCGGTCTCACAGATCAACAAACAGCACAAAAATAAAATCAAGGATAAAAATCTCATGATCACGTCAATGCATGTAGGAAAAGTTTTAGACAAAACTGAACACTCCTTCACGATAACCTTAAAGAATCTAAGAACAGAAATATCATACATCAACAAACTAAAGAATATATGAAACAAACCTACAGTTAATATTATACTGCTGGAAAACTGAAAGCATTTTCTTTAAAATTAGATATGAAATAACACTGTCTTCTCTCTACACTCTTATTTATTACAGAGCTGGATCTCATAGGCACTGTAAAGAGGGATTAGAAATGACAGAAGTCACCAGATTATTTCCACTTGTTAACCATATGATCACATACATAAAGGTCTCCAAAGACATTACTACAAAACTCTTACATCAGATAAACATTAGTAATATATCAATATAAAAAACTAATACATAAAAAGTAGTAGATTTTTCTATATCTCAAATTCACTAAGAAATAATCAGCAACAAAACAAAATAATAAAACTCCAGGAATAAAACTACCAAGGAGGTGAAAAACCTACACAATGACAACCATAGAACAATGACGAAATTGATACATTTCCAATGTTTATGCAATAGAAGAACTAACGCTATGGAAAATGACCCTATTACCAAAATGGGTCTACAGATTCATTGCAATCTCCATCTAAACTGCAATGATGTACCTCACAGAACTAGAGAATTTATATAGCTGCCCGTGTGGGCACACGCACACAGACACACACAAAAAAACCTACAACAACTAAAATAATCCTAAGCAAAATGAATAATACCACACACACACACACACACACACACACACACACACAAAAAAAAAAACATTTTTTCAAATGGTTTTTCAAACCATTTGATTTCAAATTCCATTAGAGTCACAGTAACAAAATCATCACGGCACTGTCACAAAAGCAGACATGGAGATCAATGATATTAAGAGCACTCAGACCCAAGCAGCTTATTCTCTACAAAGGGTCTAAAAACTTATATTAAAGACAGCTTTTTTTTTTCTTTAACAAATGGTGCTGGAAAATTAGGATATCCACATGTAGTGTCTCTCATCCTTTATAATAAACCAATTCAATATGGATCAAAGATATTAATGTAAGATCTGAACCTCTGAACTACTGGAAATCGGGTAGGATGCTTCAAAATGCAGCGATGGACAAGGAGTTTATGCAAAGACTCTCAACAGCTCAGGGGAAAAACATACCTAGAATTGGCAATCAGGACTGCATCAAACTATAGTGTTTACATAACAGAGTAAATAGTAACCACAATGAAGATGCAACTTAGATAATGGGGAATATCTTTGCCAGGCACTTACAATAGGGGCTAATATTCAAAAAATATAAAGAATTCAACAACTGAAAACCAAGAAAAACCTAGATAACCCAGAGGACAAATGGCAAATTAAATAAGAATCCCAAAACAAGTACAATTCAACAAATTCATACATTAAAAAAACAAGTTCAACATCTTCAACCATGAGGGAAATGCAAATCAAAACTACTCTTGGATTTGAGCTCACCTCAATTAGAACGGTAATCAAGATGGGGGAAACACATACTGGCAAATGTGTGGAGATAGGAGGAACCTTTATACTTTGTTGGTATAGGAAAAAAACCACATACATACATCATACATACATACATACATACATGTAATCACTAGGGTATAATTCTGATTTATACCAAACTGTTGGTATTTAATGAAGGAATCAAAATGAACATGCAATAGATACACTTGCATACCCATGTTTATTACAAAAATATGCATTCAAAATAGCCAAGTCATATGACCAACCTTATTGTCCATCAATGAATAACTCAAGAATGTGACAACAAAAAATGACATGAAAGGTTACTATTTAGGAAAGGGAGAAAACCAGTTGGAGAAGAAGTACTTGGAGGCAACAACTATGATAAAGTTACATTGTATACAGATATGAAAATGTCATAATCAGCCAGGTGGTGGTGACAAACACCTTTAATCCCAGCACTAGGGAGGCAGAAGCAGATGGATCTCTGTGAATTGATACCAATCTGGTCCACAGAGCAAGTTCCAGAACAAGCTCCAAAGCTATTTCTTTTGAAATATCCAAAAGAAAGTCATAATCAAACATCACTCTGTACAATATAAGCTGATGTAAAAAGTTTCTTGACATATACCAAACTGATAAGTGGTATTCTCAGATAAAATAAAATTACTTCAAATTACTATATACACTATTTTATTTCTTACTTTTTAGTACATGAGAAAGGTTAAGGAAAGACAATTCAGGAGTTTTCAGATTTTAGATTTTATTGGAAATATGAGTTATTCACTGAAGACTGTCTTACATATATAAAGGTTTTCTTATGTGGGTTTCAAAGTCTATTTTGCTTTTTTGAAGATTAGAATATAAATGAGGACAGAGAATTTGGGATGGTAGCAATATTATAAGGCTGACAGTTTCAAGATACAACTTTTTGGGGTGTGACTAATGGAGTTTATTGAAGGAATAAAACTACAATCAGAAAAAAAGATGAACTGGAACAATATGAAAAAGCCTGAGACAAATAACCTATTAATTTTGTCACAACAGGCACACAATTTTGTATCAGATGCTAGTTATACCTATTAGTCAAAACAAGTAACTAGCATTACTACTTTTCAAAGACAACTATTTCATACATACCTTTAGAAGATGGTGTCAAAGACGCAGAATATTTTATGGAAGATCGCTGGTGATTATCCTCAAGCAATGAATTGACAGTTTCCTTTTTTCCTAAATCCTGCAAGGTTTTGCTAACAGGCATATTTCCTGCTATACAGTTTTGATTTAACTGGGAAAGAACCTGAGGATTTTTGGTCTTAAATGTAAATTTTGAGACCCTCAGTATTTTGTTGTCATTCTGAGTTCTATCTGCTAAGGTTTTGTGGGATAGTTGATGAGTACTGAACTTTGTATTAGTAGCAATTTCTGTGCTCATTCGACCCAAACTATCATTCAAACTTGAACTTCCTTCAAGGATAAATTTTGAGCCATTCACCTGTACTGGTATATATTGATTATCAATTGAATTTCTAGAACACACAGACAAATTTGTTGTAGCATACAAAATATTGGGGTAATCTCCACATGGGTCTCTTTTTTCCACTTTCACTGATTTATGTATCTGTGAGTTATCTGTTAGGGATGGTGGCACTGACGAACTGACAAGATTCCAATGTTTAGAAGGTACCGACTGGCTTCTTTGTTTAGATGCAGTATAGATATTTCTGGATCCCTGTTTGGAAGTGTTATTTATACTTTCTGACTGCTTACTGCGCTTGTTTTCTTGTTGAGTTAGTTTTTCAATGTCATCACATGCCTGATATAACAAATCATCATCTACATCATCTGCTTCCCAGGTAGTCTCTAATTCACTGCATGCTTTAATCATTTCACTGGCCACCAAGGGATCATTCCAGTCATCAATGGAAGAACTGAACTTTAATCCATTAGTCTGATTTGTGTTACAAACACTGTTTTCTTTGTCCAAGAATACAGAGCCACTGGGAGCAGTGACAGCAGGTGTTTTCAAAGGCGGGTTAACACTGAACCCGTATTTTTGTTCATTAGGGTATCTTGAATATGAACCAGAACTGTCAGAAGCAAGCACATTAAAATTACACTTACTACCACTATCTTCTTTTACTCTGGTAAGATTAGAGACATCAACACAATCTTCATCTTTAACGTTACTGAAAGTGAATGGTAACTTGCTTGATTCATCACTTGGACGTGATAAAAATCTATAACTTCCAGAATTTCTTAGTTCTTTGTTGCATGTCTTTGAAGGAAGATCCAGAGTTATTTTTGAGTCTCTTAACTTTCCACCTAGATCTGTATTTGTTCTTGATGTGATTGTATCATTTTTAGCAGCAACAGTACAAATTGCCTTCTGACCAGTAACTTGGGCAGTTGTGGAAGGAAAGAGTTCAAGCATTTCAGCATTCTCCATAAGGAAAGGTTCATTGCCCAGTAAGCTCTCCCAGTCATCCTCAAAGTCACTACCAGTCAACCCATCAGCAGCATGTTTATTAGATGCTTCTGGCTTCTTTGCACAAGGAGTCACACATGATTTTTGCAGTAAGGGAGTATCTACCTGGGGGGAAGGTGATAATGAAGTTTTATTTGGAAGGTTTTCAGTGAGCAGAGTTTCATTAATAATGATGTCCTCTTCTATTAAGCTACTTTTCTTTACAAAAGTACTTTTACTATTGTTCAGAAAAGCTTCTGATGACAAATATTGGCTTAATTGTCCACTACACATCTGAGTGGAACCATCAAAAATAGCATTAAGGGCTGCTTCAACATTATGGTCAAAGGGTTTCTGATTGCTGTCTTGCTCCTCTGCCACAGTTATCCCGATGTTTCCTTCCATTTGCTTCTTTACTAGAGCACAACTGATTTCAGGAACTTTATCATCTGTCTCCATCCGCACAGAATCTTTATGAATGTGTAAATGTCCCACTTCTGAAGTTGTCTGGATAAAATCATTATTCCTCCCATCTTGCTCTTGAATCACATCAAGTTCTTCCATGTTTTTATCAAACTGCTTAGCCAACTTCATAAGTTCTTTTTCTCGATTTTGTGTTTTTAACCTATTAAAGCAATATTGGAACATTTTAATTAAAAAAATAAGACTTAATTATCATTTCATATATTTTGATATGACAAAAAACACCAAAATTTTAACTCAGAATAATGTGTCTTTAACTACAGAATTTTACATATCAAAACAAAAAGTTTACAATTTCGGTTTATTCCAAAACCTACAATGTTAGTAAGAATATCTGCCTCATTGAATGACAAGAAGGTGAAATCCGAACTCACTTAGTGCAGCTGATTTTCACTCTTGACTTTTCTTTTGCTACGCTAGGAGTACAAGGAATAGCAGTGTCACCAATCCACACACCCAGCATGGAGTTTGTCACTGGTTTTTCGTCCTTGGAAACCAAAGAAAAAAGTACATAAGAGCACCATAAAATAAGTGACCAATACCCCCTCCCCAAGAAAAAGGAGAGGTTGAGAGTAGAGAGGAAGGAGAAGAATTCTGGAGATAGTCACTGGCTGTAAACTGTGATCCATTTATGCCCTCACAAGTAAAGGAGAAATATTCGAGCTTTTATAAATATTCAAACCACATTTATAAAAACCAGGGTTTGATATACATTCCCTATCAAGTACATTTTGGTGTTATATACACATAAAAGATCATTTTATAAAAGGAAAGTAACATTTCAGTTGTTGTAAGATACTCAAAAAGTAAGTGCTACCATCAGAACAGAAAATAAAAATACATTCAGAATTCTTTCTGTAGCACTGACTCCCCAATATTTTCTTATCCTCGATCTTTAAGAACTGGGAGCTCCACTTTGACTTAAATTGAGCACAGAGTAATGTCAGAACTGACTAGAGACTTTAAGGCATGGTCAAGGCTAAAGCTAAGAATGGGGAAACAGAAAAACTTCAAGTAGGAAGTTATCTAGAGTAGGATGGTTTTCTTGTTTTGATTTTTGCTGTATTTTTCAGTTCCTCAATCACAATGATAGTTATGGAATGAGCATTATTATAAGCCAGCAGTTCTCAACACATGGGTTGCAACCTTTGGCAAACCTCTATCTCCAGAAACATTTAGACTTCCTAGCAGTAGCAAAATTATGAAGTAGCTATAAAGATAAATTTAGGGGCGAAGGTCAGCACAACATGAGGAACTGTTTTAAAGGGTTGCAGGACTAGGAAGCTTGAGAACTACTATTATAAGATCATACAAAGTTTAAAAATGGCCTTATTACTAGATTACAAGTTATTCTAACTAGAGCTTAGAATTTACAACGGTGAGTATAAAATCATACTGGGCCAGGGAGATGGCTCAAAGGATAAAAACAAATTGTTCTCTGACCTTTACAAAGTGTGTGCATGCATACATCCATGAAAAATGAGACTTTAAAAAAAAAGTGCCGTTTTATATTTTCTTACTTAAAGGTTTTAGTGAAAACATCTCTACAATTTGGTAGTGAATTAACAAGTAGTTTTCTTAATGCACACCCAAATCTACTTAACTTTAAGTTTGCAAAATAATATCAGTTCATTTTACAGACTAGATATTTTCCCATTTGTTTGAACACTCTTTCAAATAACGATTTAATTATGGAGTCTGTCCATTTACAAGTAAATTAAATTTATACAAGTTTCAAAAAGTCATGACAAAGTTACGTGCCCACTCAAGTTTATATACCAGGAATCCTCTATATATTTATGTACTACTTGTAAGGGCTTCTTTTAATTTACAGGCTCCTAAGTAAATCCTTGGTGCCATCAAGTTGTCTAATCCTTCAACTGATAATAATGAGCACCCTGTATAGTTATATATATGGCGAAAGATATCACCTTAAACACAGCGCATGTTATCACTACAGAAAATGGGATGTCTGTCTAATATGCAAATGTGTATCTTAGAAAATTAAAACTGAAACCATTAGGAGGAAATTAAATGATCTGAAGATCACTATGAAAATCTCAAGTATTTGTAATTATGAGTATGACACTTTTCAAAAGATCTTAATGCTGCCAACAATTAACCTGCTTTAATAATGCTCAGTAAGAGAAGACTGAATAAACTAATCCCAACGTAATGTTCAGTGACTCAAGCTACCACTTGAGTGCTCTTGCCATTTCTTCACAAGAGATACTATTTCCAGCCCGTTTAGTAAAGGTGTCAACCGTACACTCAACATTTTACCGCTAGGCAATCTGACCAGCCTAAAGCTATTTTCTGTGCTTCTTTGCTTTAGTTAATGAAGATTTACTGTTAACATACAAAGTAGTAATATTATACCATAAATGTAGTTCACGAAATTAAGTGTTGATATAATGAATCATACCAAGAGAGTGGAAGGAGAACTCACTCTTCCAAGTTGTCCTCTGACCTCCACACATGCTGTTGTACAAAAGAGAGTGCATGCTCATGTGTGCGCACACACACACTTTTAAAAATGTAAAAATAAACTAAGTAAGGAAAAGAAAGAAAAGAAACTCAGAACAGTTATGTTCTGGACCATGCTTCTTACTAACAGTGTCAAGACTAATACCAGGAATGATAGTTAACTGGTTTCCTTTGTATTAAATGATTCACTAAAACTTGTATTTCACTCAAACATCACAAAAGTTAAAGAAAAAAAATCTTTGAAGATGGGTCTATTAAAATAAATCATAATTAATTTATAGCACTCTATAGTTTGTAAATTTCATATAACTTAACCCTAATAATCCACTGAAGACAGTAAGGCAGGTAATAATTCTACTTTATAGTAAAATGAACTGAGGTTATGACCATTAACTGACTCATGGTGGGGGTGGGGGGTGTTGGGTCATAGAAGAGGCTGCATTAGTTAGGCCTGTATCTAAGCCCAGTGACCTTTCCAGTTTTAAACTGTGTCTTGGTGATTTTATAAGCCAGTGAATACTAGTAAGAGCAACTGCAACAGGAAAAATATGTACTATAGACAGCAAGCACTAACAACAAAAACTTAAATTTACATTGTTTGTTCTACTATACAACTTACTCAAAATATAATGTGGAAAACGCAGCTTGGTGGTAAATACATTAAAGACAACAAAAATAAAACTAATCAATTACTACTCCAAGAGAATCAAAACAAAATATCTACTTGTATCTGCAGTTCCACATCTAACCAAAAGTGTACTAAAAATATGGGACATATACAGGCATTTTCTTTTTAATATTCCCCCAATAGTACAGCATAACAAATAACTATTTTATCTAAGGAATAAATAACCTAGAGATGACTTAAAGTATATGGGGTGGGCTGGAGGCATAGCTCATGATAGAGTACTTGCCTAGCAGAAGTGAGTTTGAGCTCCAACACTGCAAAGAATAAAAATAAATAAATACAGTATATGGGAGGATATGAACAGGCACTATGAAAAACCATATCATTTTATGTACAAAACTTCAGAATCTGCAGACTTTGGTATTCATTCTATAATTCGTTCCATACTTTTCAAGACATGCATTCAGAAACAGAAAGGCCAGCTGTAACCTTTGTTGCTCTAAATACATATTTTGAATATGAAAGGAAACAAGCATGCAGTTATAAATCATGAAACTTGCTGTCTTTACCTGAGGAGCAATACGATTGACAATATGCGAAATCTCATCAGTGTATGTACTGGAAATCTGCTTTTTTCTTCCTTTCCCTAAAGAAACAGACATTTCTATAAATCTTAGACCAAGAATTTTAAAATCAGTTGTTACTTTTTAGAGAATGATTGTAATCGATGTAACTTAAATCACTCTGCACTAATGTGCAAATTAGAGAGAAAAATCATACCAGATTCTCAAAAAAAGAAAAACAAAAAAAACCCACTGTATTGAAGTTTCCGATGTTACCCGACTAAAATTTTACAATCACTAACCTTCATCAAACATTTAACTACATAAAAATCTTAACAGATTACCTAACTGTTTGGTGATTGGAGAATTTTGATCCCAGAAGATATCGGTCTGTCCATCTGGATCATTTGGGGAACTGAAGGCACAGGACAATAAATCTGTTTTCAGAACTCTTGTTGGTGTTTCATACTTTTCTGTATAAAATGACAATTGACACATTTTAAGCATTACTTCACAAGAGCCAAAGTCAGATAGCAGCTTAGATAAATTATTTTTTATGTCCAATATAAAACTTGTCTCTTAAAGACAATTACTTTAACCACAATAGAAAGATTTCAATAAAAATAATGCGTTGATATTTCATAGTATTAGTATTTTTTTTAAAGATTCCATGGTCCAGGAATGATACCACCTGATCATTGAATTACTAATACATTGCAAACCTCAAAATGTATCCAAACTGAAGCCCTCGACTCTTTTAAGCCCCTCCTGTCAACTCTACCCAAATTTTATACTCTAATGAACTACTCCCCAAAACATCAGTGATTTGCTTCTAGTTTCTAGGGAAGTTTTTGTCTAGAATCATTTAAAATTTTACGATGTTATTGTTTTCTCAGATTTGTTTTGTCATAGCAGAGGCAGGCAAGGTGACAGAAGTTGTAATTTAAGAACACGCTCTCGGAAAGGTTATCAGTCGGCTACCTATTAGGTTAATAATCTTCAAAATCTAACACCAAAAGTTATCAGAAAGGAACGCGCCATTAGTTTGCTATTCTAACCGGATGTTATTCCTAGCAAGTTCCGGGAGCAAATAGCTTTGAGGTGACCCTTTAGCAAAACAATGAAAAAAAAAAGAGAAAAGCTTAGTTGACCAATGGCCCAGGGTGGTCCAAGGCACAGGCCCCGCCCAGAACCAGTCAACCAGAAAACAACCA